AATGGGATGTTAAAAGTAGGTTTTTTGTAGATGCCTTTATTAAGTTGAGAAAAGATCTATCTCTTCTTAATTTTATGTGATATTTTTATCACAAATGGGTGTTGAATATTGTCATGTTTTTCTCTATTATTTGGTATGAACATGCTATTTTTCTACTTTAGCCTGTTAATATAAGATTTTTGAGTATTGATCCAGCCTTGCATCCATATATAAACTTCACTTGTTAGGGTATATTATTTTATATATTCCTGAATAGTGTTATGGCTCTTTGTGGTTATGTTCTTAGGCATATTGATCTCTACTTTGGGAGAAACACCATCTTTGTCTGGTTTTAGCATCTGGATAATTCTAGGTTTCTGAAACAAACTAGAAGTGTTCCCTTTTCTTCTGTTTTCTGGAATAAAATAGGTATAAACTCTTCTTTAATTCTTTGGTATGGTAGAATTCTCCAGTTAAACCTCTTGGACCTGGAGACTTCATTTTAGGAAAATTTTTAAATTACAAATTCAATTTCCTTATAAGTAATAGAACAATTCAAATGATCTATCTCATATTGGGTGAGATATAGTAATTTGGGATTTTCTAAGAATTTCCTACCTTCATCTATGTTATCACATTTATGTGTATAGTTATTAAAAAATTTTTTTTAATGTCTTCAGAGTCTATAATGACATCCTTGTTTCATTTCTGATATTGGCAATTCTCTCTCACTCTCTCTCTCTCTCTCTCTCTGGCAGTCTTGATAGATGTTCATTAATTTTATTAATATTTTCTAATAATTGGCTTTTAAAAATTGATTTCCTCTATTTTTATTTTTAATTTAATTTCAATAATTTCTGCTTTTATCTTTAAATATAGTATGTCTTTGTGTGATTTTATTTGTATTTGTCTGGTTGGATATAATTAAATTTTTGAATCTACTAGGGCTGGGAATTTAGCTCAGTGGCACTGCACCTACCTGCCTTGTAAGTGCAAGGTCCTGAGTTTGATCCCTGATACCAAAAAATTTTTTTAAATCTATAATTTTATTCCTTTCCTTCAATTTATTTCCTCTATACTTTTTCACTTCTGCATTCTTTCTCTCTTGTCTTTAGATTTTCACCAAATGTATGAATACACACACACACACACATATATATATATATATATTTGAGGGGCAGATTATGGTGCCATAGGTCCCTAATCTTTGTAATTTTTTTTTTTGGTACCTGGGATCAAGCTCAGGACCTTGTGCTTGTAAGGCAGGAGCCAGAATCACTGAGCTAAATCCCCAGCCCCAATCTTTGTAATTTTTAAGTCTATTTTCACTTTGTTGTTCAGACTGATTGTCATTATTTTTTCTTTAAGTTCACTAGGTTTTCATCTGTGTACTTAATTCTGCTGTTGAGTCCATCGATTGAGTTTTCTATTTAAATCATTATTTTCAGTTCTAAAACTTCTGCAATGTTCTTCATATTCCTATTTTATTATTAGATATTTCACTCCCTCCTCTACTTTTCTGAAGTATCTTTGCAATTCCTTATGCAACATTATTATGATAGATGTTCAAAATTCTTTATAAAACAATTTGAACACTTTGCTGCAGCTCACAATTTTTAAATGTAATATTTTAATTTTTACTTAGCTATAAACACAATTTTCCTTAATGATGTTCTCTTTAGATCATGCTTTTCTTTTATAAATTTCCAAGTATTTAGGTTATTTTTCTTTTCCTTTCCTTTTCTTTTCTTTACTATTTTTTTTTTTTTTTTCAGTATTGAGGGTTGAACCAAGGGCCTTGTGCATGCTGACTAAGCTACAATACCTTCAGCTTTTTGTTTATTTTGAGACAGGGTCTTGCTAAGTATCCCTAGCCTTGAACTTGGGAACTTCCTGACTTGGGCTCCTATCTGGAATTACACATGCTAAACTATGATTTATAGTTTATACCCCACATAAATTATAGAGGTGTTTTTAATTTAGTAAATTTTATCATCCACTTGAACTTTATTGCATCATAGTCAGAAAATATCTCTATAATACTTACTATCTGAAGTTGATAAGAGCTCCCCTAAATAATAAATTACTATAAACTCAACAAAATTGTAGCTGTAATTGTAGCTGCCTTTACAGATATGGCATCTTTGCTATAACCATAAGTAAAAGTCATGAGATCATTTATTTAGCCAATACTTTATATCCTAGCCCCAGTATCAGAAAATAAAATCAGAAGTGGACAACAATATACTTTAATAGTTTTGCCCCAGAGCTCTTTAAAATCTTGAGGTCTTAGTTATAGATCACCTAAATAGATCTAGACATCTTGTGAAACATTACTTTGATCCCCTATATTGATGATATTGTGCTAATTGAGTCATATGAGTGTGGCATGCCTAGTATATTGGAAGGCTTGATAAATAGATGCCCCAGAGGATGGACAATAAACCCTATGAAGATTAGAGAACCTGCTGGATGAGTGAAAATAGTCAAAATTTGCTTTCAGGAGAATGCAAATGGCAAGAGGGTTTATTATTATTTAATTACTCAGACTATTGATGTAGTATTTAATGCAGCTGAAGTAAATTAAAAGAACATTATTGTTACATTTCTGCCTATTATTTTTAATTGTTTATCCTCTGTGTGGATTTGCTCACAAACTTCAAATTCTAAAGCCCTGCTTCAGACTGTAGAATATACTGGTGTGTGAAATACAATAAAAGAATGCAGTAAATAGCTCATTTCTGGGAATAGTTAATGTCTTAGTTACTTTTTCATTGCTGGGACAAAACACCTGACACCCACAAGTTAAATGAGGAAAGTTTTATTTCAGTTCACAATTTGTAGAGGTTTCAGTTCATTGTCAGCTGGCTCCAAAGCAGGGTGGAATGGCAGAGAGGCATTGCAGAGGAGAAACAGTCCAAAGCTGAGTAGGAAGAAAGCAGCTAGCAACAGCAACAGCAACAGCAACAGCAGCTAATCTGTCTTTTCCTTTTATCTCATTCAGACTGAAAACCTTTTGAGTGGTGTCACCCATACCCAGGATGGGACTTCTCTCTTCAGTAAATCCATTTAGCTACACCCAATTCCAATCAATGGGCTAATTTAGTACCACACACCCTTAATCCCAGTATCACATACCCTAGATCCAGCCAGCTCTGAAAATCCCTGCCTATGAGCACGTGAGACTTTGGGGGATATCCAGATACAAGCCATAACATTAATTTTTCTTGTTTTATATCATCCTTACTTCTCTTTCTAGTCATTAACATGAGGCAATAAACTTGAACTATGTGAAGATCAGCTTCTTTCTTCCCCAGTATAGTTATATATCTTTTTTTCTATATCATGATTTTGTATTAATGGTAAGGTTTCTTTTTCTTCAGAAAAAGCTTAGAGCTTTCTATAGAAACATTTATTGAAACAATAAAGCTCTTCAGATAAGCATTCAACTTGTCTTAGTAAATGTGATCCATTTTAATCCTACATTTGAAATGTTTTATTTGTGTTTAGTGTTTGTGACAACCATAGGAATGCAATGTGCAGATTTCTAATTGAAGAGAGTTTAATTGACCAATGGCTTTAGGTGCTGGGTTCTGAAATCCAACTGAAAATTTGTAACAAGGCCACACATTCCATGAGCTTCTAAGCCAAAGACTGATCACAACAAGCATACTAAGAAAAGATGGTTTTGGGAGACATAGAACTCCTTTGATGGTTGACGTTTTTGTTCCTGGGTGGTATTAGTCAGTGTTCTCCAGAGAAACAGAATCAAAAGTATGTGAATCTCTCTCTCTCTCTCTTTCTCTCTCTTGTCTCTCTCTCTCCATTTACATGGCTCTATCTATCTACCTACCTATCTATATCTATATGTATCAGTAGTTAGTGACAAAAATATATAGACAGCCCAAGTGAAGGAGAGAAGGAAGGTTAGAAATGGTTAGAAATAGTCATGTCGATCAGATCCCCAATTTTCACTCCTAGGCTTTCTCCCTAATAGCACTTTTTCTTGCACTTTTTCTTTCCAGTGCTGAAGATCAAACCCAAAGCCCCACTCAAGCTAAGGATCTTTGGACATTTATTTCTCTTTTGGCATCTGCTTTTTTGTGGATTTGGACTAACAGAACTTTAAAAAAAATCTTGTGAAAAGGTGAAACAAAATTTTAACCTTAGAATATTATTATAGCATCCCCAAGGGAGTAAGAATATAACATATAAACATAAAACAATAATAACAACAACAATAACAATAAAAACATCAGTATAAGAGAATGCAGTTGAGCTATCTTGAACAGAACTCTTCTCATTTCCTATCTTGAAGAATTTGCATACCATGTTCAAATACATCTGAAAACTTTCCATGTGGTATAAGGATGGTTGAAAGTAAACCCCTTTCTTTGGAGCTCAAAGCTCTTCTGAAATATGCACAAAACTTCTATAAATTGGAAGCAGGTAGATGTTAGGAATGATAGCTAAAAACAGACAAAATTCAATTAGTTTTAAAGCATGCAACCATTAAGTAGTAAATGTGATCCATTTATATCCTACATTTGAAATGTTTTATTTATGTTTGTGACAACCATAAGAATGCAGTTTACAGATTTCTAATGGAGGAGAGTTTAATTGACCAATAGCTTTAGGTGCTGGGCTCTGAAATCCACCATTTGGGCAAACTTCAATTGCTTTACTAAAAATCAGAAAGCGATTAGATGAATGAGTAAAGATCACAACTGAGTTAAGTTGTCATTATCACTTTAAGGTAGTGAAAGGAATTTACTTTTTAAGTTCATGTGTCAATGCCATCTTACATGGTGTTGGCTATGGTTGTAGAAATTAGAATTTCAGGGATATGGCACTGGGTATCTTGTTTGTACCTCTATGGATGTCTCTCTTTTTTGTACCCTGCTGGCCCTTATGGATTTTATCCCCCTTGCCCTCTGGTTTCTGGTTGAATTTGGGCCAATGGGAAGCACAGCAGGAGATTAGAGGGAGAAGAGTGAGGTTGTTATTGATTCCTCCAGTGCTTTTTTTCTTGCAAGACACCTGAGACCAGCTGCTTCCCACAATTAAAGATCATGACTCCTATTAGGCAGCCTTTTCCAGAAAGCTCTTTCTTCTGTTAAAAGTACTCTTCTCTTGCTCCTTTATGCATAGTGAGAGTAGGGTCTCCTGATATTATTAGCTAGTCCTGGAGCATGATTTATCCCTTGATATTTCTCTATCCCATACCATGCTCTTACAAATAATTCCTTTATTAAACTCTCCTCAAATGCTTTCTTTTCATTTGATATTATTTTGTGGTGTTGGAAATTGAATCCAGGACCTCATGCGTGCTAGGCAAATACTCTACAGCTGAGCTACATCTACATCTTCAGCTCAAATGACTCATTTTAAATGTGTTATGTTTCTTATCAAGACTTTAACCTTGATGCTCATCCTAAGTGAACTACTAACATACCCCTATTTACAGCAATTGGGAAGAGATAATGATAACATATCAAGGATGAGTTTTTGGATTTCTTGGTAAAAATTCTCTCTTTCCACTAAGGAAACAAAAGGTACTTTTGACTTGCTTGGGTGTTTTCAGAGGTAGCATAGGGCTGTCAAGCTACACAGGCTGTAATATAAATTGAAATTTGGCTATATTATGATGGTGGTGTACTTACATATTGAACTCTTAAAATATAAAAAAGAATACAGAATAATAGTACACATTTTAATTGGAGATGAGTTTCTTGATAATACAGAAAATGAAACTTATACATATTTCAGTGCCTAAGAACACTTTTGGAACATTCTAAGTTGTGTGGCAGAAAGAACTTTGGAGGATCAAGTGTTGTAAAAATGAAGAAGGAATAAAATAATCTTCTTTAGACAAATAAGTTATTCTATACAAAAGAAATGATCTTCTCTTTGCTATTAATTTCTGAGAGACTTCTTTCCCAGGAATGTATCAGAATTGGAGATACACTACACAATAACGTCTGGCTTATGGAAGAATAAACCGTGAAGTTTTTAATTTCACTTTTTGTTATGATCTGAACAGGTCCTCTCCAAATTCATATGCTCAAATGTAGTCACCCTTGTGATAGTGTTAAGAGCTCCCTAAGAGGTGATTTAATTAATGAGCCCTCATGAAAGGGATTGATGACTTTATAAAAGAAGTATGATGGAAATGTTCATCCTCTGTCCTTCTGCCTATCTACGTGAGGACACAGCAAATGAAACAAGATCTGTCTCTGCCAGTATGTTTGGATCATCATTAGTCTTTTCACAGGAGCCTTTCTGTTCATTAGCCCTTGGAGTTTGGGTGAATTTTTCTATTTGCTTGGGATTTATATGCTCACTAGCTTTAGAGATAAATTGCTTGACTGCCTTGTACTGCAAGAAGAAGAAATCTAATTCTCAGCCTACTTTGGTAATGTCTGCTGGCTTCTGTGGGTGTAATCTGTAGAGAACTGTTTGGTCCTCTATTTTGGAAGACCCTTGAGTGTCAAGCACATGATATATTATAATTTACTTGGTCAGTAGACCTCTCAGTGTGAGATTTTGTTTTCTGTAAGAAAGCTTTTTCTAGATAGTATGTCTTAGGACCAAAATTAATTTTTCCTATTCTGAAAAAATTTCACACTTGACAAGAAAGTAGATAATTGTCCTCAGTCCATTCCTTGGGAGGTGTATTTGTCAGCTTTCCTATTGCTGAACACAGTACCTGATACAATTTAAAGGAGGAAAGTTTTAATTTAGCTCACAGATTGGGAATATTCAGTTCATAGCCAGCTGGCCCCAAATCAGAAATATCATGGCAGAGAGTGTGGCAGAACAAATCTGTTTAATTCACAGTGGTCAGGGAGCAGAGGAGGGGAACAATACCAGAGAGGAACAGGGAGGAACCATCTATAGTACTCAAGGCTATGCCTCTGAGCCCCACCCAGGCACTCAGTAGTGTGCTCCTCTAATCTGCTAGTCTTTCTTAATCCAGTGGAGTTGACATATCAGGATTAACTGTCACAGCAGGGTGATTAGGGGGAATAGTAGGGTTTTGTGTGGGTGACATACTAGCTTGTCTCTACTAATTCCATCCATAGCTGCTTAGGTGGTGTTATTCAAACCAAGAAAGAGACTTGCTACCTTCACACATCTCTCATTCCTTCCTTCTCCACTATAATCTATGTGGGACTCATAATATGGCTAATATAAGAGAAAATTTAATGTTGTTTATACAAGGTTGAAAATCCAGGGGATATATCTATAAAATTCCCATCTTAAAGTATGGGTCTTGGATCTAAAAAAAAATTAGGTGGTACTAAAATCACATTCTTGGAGGAAGAAGACCAGGGTCTTACACAATTTCAATGTCGTAAGCAAGAAGGCCTCCAATGGAAAATCCCAGATAAAATGACACCTTTTCTATGCTTCTGCCACTTCTAAGTTGACCCAAGAAAGCAGGTGTGATGGGTATTGTGATGTTTTCATTGATTCCATACTCTATGAATAAATTATTATTTTCAGCTCGTCCCTGTAAATGAAGCAAAAGTTCTTGGACTTTTTTATCCTTCCATACATCTCCACTTTGCCACAAGGAATTAATATCAGGCATCTTTCCAAAGCATTGGTCAATTTTTCCTTTGTGGACAAGTCTGTTCATATTGGTACCTTTTCCAAGAAAGAAATATGCAATTGGTTGCTTTGTACGATGCATGTGTTTATATTGTCCCCTGAAAGACTTTTCCAGTGATAGAGCATATTTTCCCATTTGTTTAGAATCTTGATCTAGTTGTTGGTTTTCTGGCCAGAATAAGAGTGAAGCTAGGAAATAAGGCTCTGAAAATCTGTAAGTTGTTCCTACTTGTTGTAAGATGTCTCTAAGCTGATCTTTCAGTTTTTTAATTGGCTTCACTAATTTGGAGGTAGGCTTAATACAGGAGAGAATGATGTTGGCCAAGATGAAATTTTGCTTTTCCTTTAACTGCATTCTGACAATGCATTGTTCAAGGAGAAAAGTGTATTTGTTCACTATAAATTCCATGGTGCTTACAACATCTTCCTGACTTTTGATAAGATATTCTAAAAGCCCAGAAAACTTGTCTGCTTTTAAAGCTTCTAAGCTTCTCCGATTCCTCTCTACTTGAAGTGGCAAACTGAGCTTTGATTCAAGATCTCTGTTTTGTGATTCTCCTGATGGACCAAATACATCTATATATTTCCTAAAATATAAAGCTACCTTTGTCCTAGTTTTGGCCTCTTCATTTTGCTTAATGTTGTTCCTGGGTTTTAGAAGTACAAAATAATCATCAAAAAAATCAAAGGACTTTTTTAAAGAGGACCGCAAAGTAGTAAGATAAGGAATAAATTTCTTGAGAGCTAATTTAAATTCATTTAGATCCCCTGGAATATCACCACTTCCTGATATAAAATTGATCATAGCTCTTCTAGAGAGTTCATTTTGTTTGTCAAAAAAAGGAACCAGCTGGAGAATCTGGATTGTGTATTGCCCCACTTCTATCTCCCCTAGGTAACCAGAAATATTGTAAGTGTCATACCTTCTTTTTGACTTCTGACCCAATCTTTCCTTCACTTCATATTCTCTATCTTCACTTTGCTGTTGAGATTCTTTGAATGCATCTGAGGCATGTTCTGCTAATTCCAAAAGATCGGTTAGATCCTCAACTGAAATGTCCCTGTTTCTTTCAGGGCCCTCTATCCACCATCTAATCTTACTTTTATATACTTGACCCAGTGTGTCTGAGATATAAGAGTTGTCAGGTTCTATCTTTTTTGCTTCATTTGCCCAATAAAGAGCACTGTTAAAGTCTTTCTCTCTAATGTAGAAATGTCTTGCCAAGGCTTGGCAAATGAATGCATTTGGTTTAAACCTCTCGATACCTTGGCACAACACACCTTTAACTGCCTCATTTCCTTCATCTGTATGTAATGCTTCAATAAAAGGGGAAAACCAGGTTCCTGTTTCACCTTCTTGTTCATTCCGCTGTCTTGTGAGCAGTAGTGTTTGCATATCTTGGAAAAATTTGCTTCTTCCTAAGCCAGTATCATAGAACAAATTTTCTGTTAGCATATCCAGCACAATTTGACTTTTATCCACATCATAGCTTTTCTTCAATTCTTTCAGGGAGAGGACTGCAATCAAAGGGTGAATGATGCGCACTCCACAGTAGGTTCCACATTCCACCACCTCTGTTTTTATTAGAATTGTAGAGTAGGTGCCTATCTTGTCTTCAAACTTTTCTGTTCCCCAGAAAGCTGTCTTGTTTGCAATTCCTAAGTACATCTCACACTGTGATAGTGAAATGGTGGTATGAGGCACATATGAATTAAGAAGAGCCAGAAAAGAAAAAAGCTTTGCTTCCTTGGTGGACTTATTCTGTCCTTTCAGAATATTTCTGACCACCTTTTCAATGTATTCTTTATTAAAATTTGTTTTCATGATCATGAAGGAATAAAAATCTTCAAAGTTTTTATGCTGTTCTTTAATTTCTTTCAATTTAAGCTCAAAAGCTATCTGTTCTTTGGAGGTCAGTTTCTGTTTTAGGGCAATACTATCTGGGATCTTTGCACTTTTTTCAGGATTTTGTGATCTTGTGCAATTTAAGATGATTACTAGAGGTTTTTCATATCGAATGTATTTTTGAGCTACAGCTTTTTGAATGGCACTCTGCAAAAGATAGACATTATCTTGTTCTTCAAAATCATCAACAAGGAGCAGTACAGGTAAGTATTCCTGATTATTTGTTGCCCCATAGGTGATTAAATCAGTCACTTGTTCTCCAATTTCAGAAAAATCCACCGTCTGGTTTTTCAGTACAGCACATCTGAATTTCTTCCTTAGTTCCCACAGAATATGCATGGCCAAGGTAGTGCCCCCACAGCCTGGATGATGGAACAAATGAATGATTTTGGCACATATTGGTTTAGAAGAATCTGCAGCATTTTGAATCATTTCTTCAAGTTTTTCATATCTGTCTCTTTTGACAAAAGGTGAGAAATAGTATTCAGAAAAGTAGAAGTTCCACCATGATACTTTGCCACCTCGATAGAAGTCTTCTTCTTTTGAAGCCTTGAATTCCAGTAACTTATTTTTGTCTTTGTGTAAGAGTGTACCTTCACATTCATTTACACAGAGAATTTCCAGAGCAGTCATATCTTCTTCCTTTTTCAGAAGGACAGTAGATGAACAAATAGATGGCAAAAGTCTCTCTGAAGACTGAGTTACAGATTTTAGTTTAAGAATAGTGCCGTTTATCTGTTCAAGATTTAAAGCAGAAATACACTTGTCTGATAGTTCATCTTTCTTATTTGTTAATCTTGCTTCAAGTAGGTCTCTCCATTCCTGATATATGTTTGATTTTACACAAATACACAATATATTTTCCATTCCTTTGAGATCTTGGTAGAAGGCACAGAATGTCTCAATGAGGGGATCCCTTGGGTCATCCACAGAAGACAGTAATAGAAATACCACCAAAAACTTCCCTCTTGGCATTATGTCTTCATGTGTAAGAAATGAAACCAGTTTCCTGACTTCAGAAGCTCTTTCTTTTTGCCAGGCAACTGGATTTAAGGGTTCATATTTTTCACTGTCAAGGTCTGACCTGCCATTGCAGAAAATCCAGCTGGGTTTCTGGTAAAGATTCAAACTAGAAATCTTCTCATTTAATGTGATTTTTTCTTCTATGAATTGACTTGGAGAGTGTAGGCTTGCTGCTCGGCTTTCTTTGAAAGATTTGAGAACTCCTTTTGTCTTGGACTCAGAATCAAACTCTAACACAGCAAACCATTTAATTTCCTTTATGAAATCTAAGTGTATTATTTGATCTGGATGGCATTTGTTTGTTACAAGAATGTACCAGTCATAGTATGAATTATCTAATAAGTCTTCATTTCCTGTCAACAGAGTAACCAGCTTTGATCCCTCACTACTGTTTTTATTTGGTTTTTGTTTGCATTTTTCTTCTGCTTCTTTTCTAGATACTGCCACTGTTTTTAAATCTAACTGAAAAGCTTTAAAATCAGCTTTATTTTTTAAGATGTTCTTAGAGTTGGGACCATCTCGCACAAAGACTGAGTATTTTGAACTTTGTTGCCATGCTTTGTTGTTACAGTTTTGCATTTTGATCTGGAAATAGTCATGTTTACATTCAGAGAATTGTGGAACAACATCCACCTCAACAACAAATCTGTCAGATACAGTGCTATTTGGCAGTAAAACTTCTACAAATCTTGGTTCTCGGATGCACTTCTTTGCTTGTTGGACCTGATGTGCTTCAAAATACTGATGGATCATCCAATTGAAGTGGTCAATTAGGGCTTCTTTGGTGACACTGGTGACTTTTATGCCAACAATTTTGCCATGGGGTTTGTCTTCAACTCCAAAATGAATAGTGCCATTGGTACGTGAATTCATACAAGCTGAAGCAAAACGGAAGGTCTCATTGGTAAATTTCATCTTAATATCCTCTTCTGTGGCTGTTTCAGTATTTTTCAGTGCTTTGAACTCATGTACTGGATCAATAAGATTTTGTGGTCCTGTTTCAGGCTGCAGGATGAAATGCAATTTATAGCGATATGGATCACTGAATGTATTAAAAGGATATGGGGTACATGTTGGTTGTGGCATGTCATCTGGTGGATTTTCCATGGGCTCATTTTTTAGTGATTTAGACTGTTTGGCAGCTGGACTCACTTTAGAAGCATTATCCATATCTGAGATCTCTTTGTCCTTTTGCTTTTGCTTTGAAGTCTCTCTACCTTCCTTTTGCATCAAAGATTGCTTTGTAGGAATATTTTTACTGCTTTTCTCCCTCTTGGATGTCTGAATAGGATCTTCAGAAGATGTTTTCTGCAATTCTTTGAATAGTCCCTCTATTTGGATAGCTGGTCCATGTGTTATGCCCATATCAACAAGATGGCTTTTATTTAGCCACTTCAAGATTGCTCCACTCACATCTTGTGCCATCAAAATTTCCCTATGTTTTTGGTCAATCTTATGACTCTCTAACCACCTGTTTACATCCTCTTTTGTCCATTCATCTGTATTTTCTGGAAGGTTTAGTTGCTCTGCCATTGTGATACCTGTATATAGAAAAAGAAAAATCATTTGGTATTTTACAAGTAAAATTTTAAAACAATAGGGCCAGGGAGTTAGCTCAGTAGTGCCAATGCCTGCCTCACAAGTGGAAGGTCTTTAGTTCGATCCCCAGTACCAACCAACCAACAAACAAACAAAAACCAATAAATTTTTCGATAGGTTTATATATGTGTGTTACAAAAGTTTAAAAGTTTCTATTACTAGTTCCTTGTACGCCCTTCCAGAAAAACATCCTCAAATACAAATGCACAAGCACTTTTATCTCACATGAATGGTAGCATACCATGTAAAATTCTCTTTACTTGCTTTTATTCACATAGTATATGTTGGGATACTTCCAATGAGTATATTTAGAGATGTTTCATCCTTATTTGTGGTTGTTTGTTATAATGCATCTTTGCTGTGCTATTCATAAATATTCAATTCTGTTCTAGAAAGTAAGGAAAAGGAATATATGAAATATAGAAACACATAATTTGTGAAATATGTTAGGATAAACATAAATGAACCAAATAGAGTATATGATTATTAAGCATAACTGGGAAGGAAAAGAAGGGCCAAATACACATTAAATATTCATGAGATGCACATGAAAGATTTAATAGGTCTGAAGTATTAATTGGGTCACTCACTGGCAAAACCATTGTGATCCTTTGTATCCTTTACTCAAGAAAAATAAATAAAACCCAAAGTAGCATATCAGGCTAATTAACGACCTATAGCTGTGGCCAAACACACCTCTCTGAACCCTTTTGAGTAGAACAAATATATTTTCTATCTGCTGAACCTCTGATAGACCTCAATGAGCATACAGATGAAGGTAAATTTTCTACACTTTAACCAACTAGCAAAATAACACTATTTGACAATAATAAATTATATGTGAAGTAGTACATCACAGAGGTCACCAAAATGCCCCTGCAACAAGAAAAATGATTAGGGAAGTTGCCAAATTTATATGTAATTTTTTGCAGTACCAAGTATTGATCTCAGGGACACTCTACCACTGAGCCACATTCTCATCTCCCCAGCTCTTTTATTTATTTTATTAGTTTTATTTTGAGATAGGCTCTCATTAAGTTGCCTAGTTGGCCTTGAATTTGTGATGATCCTTCCTCAGCCTCCCAAGTAGCTAGGATTATAGGGGTGTGCCACCACTTACAGCTAAATCTTGGAATCTAGAACTGTTCCCAAATCTCTAACCATCAGGATAGACAAAATCAAACCCCAATGAGGTAACACTACATACTTCCTAAAATGGCTAAAATTAAAGACTGGTAACTAGACTGGTAACCAGCAAATGCTGGTGAAGATGTGGAGTTAATGATGTTCTCAGACATTACTAGTGGGAATATAAATTGTTTCAGCTACTTTGAGAAATGATTTGACAGTTTTTATAAAGTTAAATATATACCTACTGTGTGGTTCAACAATTCTAATGAAAATAGTAAAGTACTGATGTAGAGGAAAACATTTGACAGAAAATATATTGTAGGAGTTCACTTATGTGAAGTTCAAAAACAGGAATCATGGAACTCAGAACATTGGTTACATGTTGGTGGGAGATATTTTCTGGCAAAGGGCCCAAGATCTTTAGCCTTCCAAGCATAATACTGGGTCCAGTGGACCCATTTCTTACTTTTCTACTGTAATTTTGTACTTGAGCATAATGGTAACTAGCTGTGCATCTCAGTACCTTTCCCTGAGGGAATGCAGGAATCAGTCTATGTGTTTACCTACTTGGTATGATTAACAGCAAGGTGTGTGCACAGGTACCAAAGTGGTAAAGCAGGAATTTTACCCACATTATGCTTCATCTAACTGGTTTTGTGTATGTTTACCTGAGCATTGCAAAGGGTCCAACAGACCCACATCACTGCAGGATTTGTTAAAAACAAACAAACAAACAAAAATTTTAAAACATCTTCCGATATAAGTAGCCCAATTCAGTACAATGGCATATGAAAAACTAGATTTACCAAGTTTTCTTGGAGGTCAAAAGTGAATCATCATATTACCCATGCATGGATGATGAAAATGATCCTTTATGGTAAAATAAATCTTTTCATAACAGAAGAGTGGTGTGGGTGTGTGATGATGATGATGACTTTAACATTGTCCATGTAAGCCAAAGTTCCTGTGATAGTGAAATGAGCAGGAATTGACTGATAGACACATGGAATGCAGATGTCCTTGATTCAGATGATAAAGAAGATAGCAATGTCAATACATATTTGACTAGTTGAAATGTTGCAAAATGGCTACACAACCAAATGAAATGATCCAATGTTAGAACTAGGTCCAAAAATATAGTGAGGGTCTTGACAGGGGTGAAATATGTTGGACAGAATGCAGCACTGTCATTCAGTGATGGATATTGTAACAGACAAAATGCTACAAGATGCTGTAAAATACAAAAAGTCTGAAATGTAAGTAAAATATTCTGTATACACCAATATCCATATTCAAAAATGTATTTATTATGACATCTCACTATCTGAATTGAAAGCATTCATAAGCCTGCTGTACTTAGCAGAGATTTCTCATGGTAATTGCCGGAATGTAAAAGACTTATGGAAAAGTCATGAGTCAAAACATAGTGTAAAAATTTTTGCCCTTGTAAATGTGAAGACTTACAATGATTTTAGACATTTATCCTGGAAATGAACCATCAGGTCCTTTTTTTGTATAGTAGTAAACCAAATGATATGTGAACAGATTTGTTTTTCCCATCTCCCAAACTAGTCAGAATGTGACATTTGACAATTGGTTTACCAGTTTCCAATTGATGTTAATTTGCTAACAGAATACAAGTTGACCAACACAGGAACTGTATGCAGGAACAAAGCAGAAATTCCAAATGAAATGTTGCAATTTCAAAACAGAATTTTATAGTGCAATCTTTGGATTTCAGGAAGATTTACATTGGCCTCGTATATGGCAAAGAAAAACAAACTGGTACTGCTGATGTCAACATTGCACCATAATAGAAATATTGATTGGGAAACTTTGACAAAACAGAAGCCTGATATGAAAACTTTCTACAACAAAACCAAAGGTGGAGTAGATGTTGTTGATGTTATACAACAATTATGATGTCACTTGAAACACAAAGCACTGGACAATGGTTGTATTTTACTCAATCCTAAACATTTGTGGCATAGTTTGATAGTTTACAAAGAAAATAAGTACAAAATATTTTGGAGAAATTTTCTTAGAGGGTTGTGAATGGAACTCACAAGAGATCATTTATAAGAGAGGAAAAACAAAATGTTTCTGCCAAGGGAACTATGAAAAAAATTATGGAGCACACAGGTGAGCTGACAGGTGAACAGGCAGGTGCAGCATCACAAACACCTACAAACATCACAAACACAAACACAAATGACAACATGAAAGCCAAAAATATGTCAACTGTACCCTACAAGAAAGGACAGGAAAACAAAACATACATGCTATCAGTGTAAGTGATACTTGTGTATGGAACGTGCTGCTGTCATGTGTGAAGACTGCCTTGATGTGACAGTTGAAGCAAAGGTTTTTTCTGTGGTAGACTTTGTGTTTACATTGTAGTTCACATAGTTCTTTATTTCTGATATTGTCTCTTAGGTTTTTGTAAGCAAGTAAATAGCTAATGTGAAAATTGATGTCTATTCTAAGCATTCATTACATATTTGATATTTTATTTTATTGATATTTTATTTCCGTGTTAAGTGCATGTTGTACAATATAGTAGAAAGCTCCTGACAAAACAGGAAGAAAAGACAGGTGACAAGACTGCCACATAGGAAGGGAAAGCTAAGCACATGTGCTGTCAGTGTAAGTGAGATGTGTGCATGGAACACACAGTTGGCATGTGTGAAGATTGGCTTGGGTGTGACAATTGAAGAAAATTTATTTTTGTTGTAGAGTTCTTTTGGTAAGTCCTATTGTAGTTCATTTAGAATTTATTTCTTATGCTATCTTTTAGGTTTTGTAAGCAAGTACACAGCTGATATGAAAATGTTGGTGTCTATTCTAAATGCACAATACATATTAAGAATACTGTATTTTACTGACATTTTATATTCTTGTTAATTACACACTATATAAGAAAGTCCTGACAAAACAGCAAGACGAGTGAGATGTAAAGTATGTCCTATACAAAGGCCAGGAATGCAAACACATGTGCTGTCAGTCTAAGTGACAGATGTGCATGGAACATGCAGTTGTCTTGTGTACAGACTGCCTTAGGTGTGATAATTGAAATAAAGATAATTTTTTTATAAAGTGCTATTAGTATTTTCATTGTGGTTCATATAAGAATTTATTTCTGCCATTCATTTTCAGACTGTACACCAAAACACAGTTGATGTTGAAAATTTTGATGCTTTTTTATAAACAACAAATATTAAAAGTTCAATACTTTATTTTTGTGATTTCTTTTCCTGTTAAGTACTCACTGTTTAATATAATAAACTCATAAAATTAATAATTCATCAATATAAATATTCTAAAGAATAAATGTGGGCCCAACAGACCCAAGGTTATGCACCTTTATGACAAAATTAGTGTTATGCTCCACTTAGTTGCAGGTGGTTACACAGAGGTAGATAGAGAGAAACTTCATAGAACTCTACTAAAATTTGTTCATTTCACATAAGTTATACTTGATGTAAAAAGCCAGTGATGCCTTCAAAATACATGATAAAATAAATAGATGAATAAAATAAAAGAGATAGTTACATGGCAAAAAGATGATGTATTATAAATCAAGGATAATGATTAATTCTGAATATCTAATTTTACTAAATATTTATTACTTTGATTTCAGTTTACAGGATTAGTTATTGACCTCTGCATCCTAACCACAGTTGATTTTTGATGATTTAAAATTTTTTCTCTAAAACTTTATTTCAAAATTATTTACTTCACCACTAATAAGGTATATCATTAATTCTCTTCCAGTGTCACCAGGCAATGAACTCATTTTCTGGTACTCAGAAGTTAAATCACTCTTTTCAAAATGTACCAAACTCTCCACAGTTGAGAAGTATTACATGAATTATTTACCCACCATTCTTTAAATCTGAATTTATATTACTAACCTACATCAGTGGATGTTAAAATGAAGTCACTTTTAAACAAATTATAACTTTACAAATTAAAATACCAGTACCTAATATTGGGTGAGAGTATCTTAAAACACTAATTATATATTACCTAGATACACTAAGTGTAATTATATATTACCTTGAAATTTGAAAAGTTATATTTCATATTTATGTATTTTAGAAATAGTTTTTAAACTTTAGCTCTATATATTAGGTCCAGTTATCTCTACTTTACAATGCCTAACACTTTGTGTTATATAGTTCAGTACCAAAAAGATCTATAAAACTTTCAAATTAATTTTCTTATTCATCTCATATCTTGGTTACTTTTCTCTCA